ACATCAGTGTCTGCAAAAAAAAAAAAAAAAGCCCAGTATAACTTTGTTTTAAAGTGCTCCTGTTTTTATTTTTATTTTTGAAAAGATAAATCTCTCCTGTTTTATTCAAATACATTTAAAATTCTCAGAAGTAGGCAGAAGTTTGGCCTCTTTAAGAAAAAGAACCAGTCAAAAACAGTAATCAAGTGTAAATTGAGGAGGCCTGCAGAGCTCTGGTCCAGCTAATTCCTTGGGTATATAAAGCAGACACTGATTCCGGCAAAGAAGGGAACGGCAGAGTCTTGTTGCTAGGCAATGGTTCCCATGGGACAGAAGCATCGATGGGTTGGCTGTAGACTACATAAAAGATGGCGCAGGACAGAAGGAAGGAGGATGCTCAGACACTATTCCTCCATCTTCAGTTTCTGAGATGGAGAAGAAAAGACACACAAACCCCCCCAGGGTGGTTGCAGGCTTGCTGTGTAATTAGCAGGGTTGCTTTTTGCAGGACAGAAGCCTGCTAATTAGCGAGATGTGAAGACATCATTTCAATTTTCACATGATGCTGGAAATGGGTTAAGGGTCAGCTTTTTGAAACCTGGAAGCACTAAAAAAGAGAGTAGGTGAAGGTTTTCCTGAGAGTTGAACGAAGCCAGAGGCACGCCGTGGCTGAAGGCAGTTGAGCTTCATGTCAACATGGCGGCCTTGCATCTCTCTGGCTATTCTCACTGGGAAAAGGGCACCTTGTTAATCAAAGGATAAGAGTAAGCTTCCACAGCCAAATGGCTGAGTTCAAATCCTGGCTTCATCACTGTGAAGCTGTATTGCTAAAGTCAAGCTATGCAAATGCTCTCAGTTTTCTCATTCATGAAATGGGCATAATAACAGTACTTAACCTCATAAGATTGTTGTGAGTAAAAACGTGTGTAGCGATTAGAACAAGATCTGCACATAGTAAGTGCAACATGACCATTAGTTACTACTACTTTATTTTTCTCTCCTCTTCCAGATCAGAAACAAAAGATCTGAGCTCTTTATGCATTCTAATACCATTCATTCTCTTATTACTGAGGTTTGTAAAATCATGGGCATCATTTGAATTTGAACATAGCTTGTATTGTGTATCAGTCAGGATGATTATGCTTGGTAACAAACAGTCTTCAGCAGCTCTGTACCACATAAGCTATTTCTTTGGTTCATGTCCAAGGAGGGCTGGTAATGGGGATGGGGAGGGGTGCTCTGTTCATAATATTTGTTCAGAGACCTTAACCATCAGGGGCTTCATCTCAACACATGCTGTGTTTCTCACTTAAGCTAATGCTAAATTATCCTATGTTCACTAAGCTACCCCTGGCTACATTGTGTTCCCCAAATGCTGAGCTCTTTCCTAACATTTTTTTTTTTTTTTTTTTTGACACAGAGTCTCACTGTGTTGTCTGGGCTAGAGTGCAGTGTCATGATCATAGCCTCAGTCTTCCAGGCTCAAATGATCCTCCTGCCTCAGCCTCCTGAGTAGCTTGAACTACAGGTGTGTACCACCACACCTGGCTAAATTTTAAATTTTTTGTGGATACAGGGTCTTGCTGTGTTGCCCAGGCTGGTCTCGAACTCCTGAGCTTAAGTGAGTCTCTCATCTTGGCCTCCCAAAGTGCTGGGATTGTACACATGAGCCACCACACCCGGCCTCTTTCCCAGCTTCTTGTCTCTGCCTAGAGTGTTCTTCTCATGGCTGGTTCATCTCATCCTTTCAACCTTAACTGAAATAATACCTCCTGGCCATCCCTTCTAAAGACAATTATTTGTCCCAGACTTTCTTTATCATTCTACCCTGCTGTTTCATCCTACACATTTTACATATGTCTTGAACTATTCATTTATTGTCTAAAATGTAAGCTGCATAAAGGCTTTGTTTTGTTTCCTGCTGTATCCCCAGGGCCTAGTACATGGCAAATACTCAAAAACATCGGTGGCATAAATGAATGTCTATCTTGTTGAACTAGAATTTACACTCTCTGAGGGGTAGAGGACTTAGTTGCCTTGTATATCACCAACCCCTTGGCCCAGGAAAAGTACAAGTTCAAGCCTGGGCAACATGGTGAAACCCCATCTTCAATACTTCCTTTTTTTTTGAGATGGAGTCTCACTCTGTCACCCAGGCTGGAGTGCAGTGGCGCGATCTCGGCTCACTGCAACCTCCGCCTCCCGGGTTCAAGTGATTCTCGTCCCTCAGCCTCCTGAGTAGCTGGAATTACAGCCACACACCACCATGCCTGGCTAATTTTTGTATTTTTTAGTAGAAACAGGGTTTCACCACGTTGGCCAGGCTGGTCCCGAACTCCTGACCTTAAGTGATCCATCCACCTCGGCCTCTCAAAGTGCTGAGATTACAGGCATGAGCCTCCACACCCAGCCAGTACATCTTATTAAATGAATAAATGAGCATATGGAGAGCCACCTCTCATGGTGCCCAGTTTCTCACCTCTCAGGCAGGTCTCCCTTTTGATTCATATGAGTAGATGAAGGTAGGTACAGAATCCACCTGTCTGTCATTCTCAAAGCTGCCTTCTACCGCACGTGGTGGCCGGTGGGATTCCCTAAAAGCGGTAGTTTAGTGATAAGGGAACCGTCCTCGGGAGGTGTCTCTAAAATGTTATAAGCCCATTACGCTAGGACACCACCAGCTGACTGGCAGCTTCTGTCACTGTCATGTGATGGCAGCCATGGCAAGAAAGCATCACTTTCCTGTGTCCGCATCACCTGCATCCCTGGCGCTTCTCTTCTTGGCTTTCTTCTCCTTTCTCTTCCTTTTGGAGACATAGTGGCTACAGGCCAGGTCTCTGGAGACAGATTGCTTGACTTGTAATCCAGGCTCAGCCACTTACTAGCTGTACAGCTTTGGGCAAGTTACATTCCCACTCTGAGCCTGTTCCCCTGTCTGTAAAATGGGGATGATAATGGAACATACCCCCATGGAGTGGTTGGAAGGATTAAATGAATCGATATAGCCAGATGCTTAGAGCAGTGCCTGGCCTGTGGTAAGGTCTACGTAGCATGTATATGTTAGTAATTATAAAGTTCTTGCTTAGCACATACTCACTTGTGGTCTTTTTCTAGGCTGGAGGGTTTGAAACATCTTCATAAATTAGTCAAACACTCTTCAAGTGAGCTTGGGAAGACAATCCTAGCATGCAACACACAGTTTTGAAGGGCTCCTCTGAGGCCAGGTGCGGTGGCTCACACCTGTCATTCCAGCACTTTGGGAGGCCGAGGTGGGCAGATCACTTCAGGCCAGGAGTTTGAGACCAGCCTGGCCAACATGGTGAAACTTCATCTCTACTAACAATACAAAAATTAGCTGGGTGTGGTGGCGCACACCTGTGATCCCAGCTACTCGGGAGGCTGAGGCACAAGAATCACTTGAACCCAGGAGGTGGAGGTTGTGGTGGGCCCTGACCGTGCCACTGCACTCCAGCCTGGGCAACAGAGCGAGACTCTGTCTCAAAAATAAGTAAGTACATAAATTAAGAAAAAAAAAAAGGGGGCTTCTCTGGTCCTAGTGGAAGTGAGTGTCCTAGAAGTTCCCAAATCCCTTCCCATCCTCCTCTTGACAACTAGAAAATAATGCTTCTTGAAGTGGGCCTCAGGATTCACACAGCATCAGAAACACCTGGTTATTAAAAATGCTTATTAAACATACAGAGTTTGGGGCCCCACCCCAGACCTACTGAATCAGATTCCCCATGGGTGGTGCCTCGGAACCTGCATTTTAACAGTCTTTAGGTGACTCCTAAGCACATGGAAGCTTCCTCCAAGCTTCCAAGTACCAAGTACTATTTGAAGGCCACCTTCAGATACATCCTTATGTTCTCCACCCCTGTCAAGGGAAAATCCTTTCGGGGTTGTGGGGTTCCCACAATGCCATGCTAACTCCCCTTTCACTTCCACTCAGAGGACAGTGAAAAGGAGGACAGTATCTAACTTGGAAAATGGCACTACCAAGTGGTGGGTCCATCCGCTAATTGGCACTGACCCATCCCACTGTATCTGCCCCAACCTCCACTCCCTGCTACTAGCCGGGTCTGGATTAGGGTCTACAGAGGTCCTAAACCTGAAACAGATAATGGTGCCCTTCCATCCCCGCACTGAGTAATTCAAAATCAAAAGAGTACTAAACCTGGCTGGGCGCGGTGGCTCAGGCCTGTAATTCCAGCACTTTCGGAGGCCGAGGTGGGTGGATCACCTGAGGTCAGGAGTTCAAGACCAGCCTGGCCAACATGGTGAAACGCTGTCTTTACTAAAAATACTAAAATTAGGTGTGGTGGTGCACGCCTGTAATCCCAGCTACTCGGGAGGCTGAGGCAGGAGAATCACTTGAACCCAGGAGGTGGAGGTTGAGGTGAGCCGAGATCATGCCATTGCACTCCGGCCTGGGCGACAGAGACTCCATCTCATAAAAATAAAACAAAGCAAAACAAAGCAAAACAGAAAGAGGCCGGGCGCGGTGGCTCACACCTGTAATCCCAGAACTTTGGGAGGCCAAGGCGGGCAGATCACAAGGTCAGGAGATTGAGACCATCCTGGCGAATACGGTAAAACTCTGTCTCTACGAAAAATACCAAAAATTAGCCGGTCGTGCCGGCAGGTGCCTGTAGTCCCAGCTACTCGGGAGGCTGAGACGGGAGAATGGCGTGAACCCGGGAGGCAGAGCTTGCAGTGAGGCGAGATCGCGCCACTGCACTCCAGCCTGGGCGACAGAGCCAGACTCCGTCTCAAAAAAAAAAAAAAAACAAAACCCTGAAAATAGGTCAGTGAAGACCAGCACGTTCCAGTTTTTCCCATGGTGATCACTCTAAGGCTTTTTTTTTAATAGTTTAAATTCCATTTAAATTAGTCTTTTTCCCCCTTTTATTTTTGGGAGGATGCTTGCATATTGCTAGCTTTGTAAGCACCGGCCTTGTCAACTTTTAGGCAACCTTGAGCTGCAGTCTAAACCCCTCTCTCCTCTGCCTGCCTTTTCTCAGGCCTTGATGAAATCCAGTGCTCCCTGCCCATGGAGAGCAGGAGGATATCCCTGCGCGAGCTGTCGGAGGCCAGCTTCAGCGAGTGTAGGTTCAGCCTGTCGCTCACAGACCTCTTCATCATCATCTTCTCTGGCGTGGCTGTGTCCATCGCGGCCATCATCTCCAGCTTCTTCCTGGCCACTGTGGTGCAGTGCTTCCAGAGGTGTGCACCCAACAAAGATGCGGAGGATGAAGACGAGGACGAGGATGAGTGAGCCACCTCCTCCCTCCCGCTCCTTACTCTCCAGCACCGAACCAGAAGCTCTCTCCAAGAAGAGAGGGAAATGCTGCAAATGGAAAAGCACTGGCCACTGTCCGTGAACGGAACAGAGCCTGTTCCGTGTCTTGGCCCCTGGGTACACCTGCTGGGACCACCAATCTCAGAGTTTAGAATCAACAGAGCAGAGAAGCCCAGGAAGGATGGAGGGAATTATTCCTGGAGCATAACCTGCCTCTCAGATTGAGGTGTGTGTTGGGGGAGAGGATGACCCAGTCGGGCTTCATAGCTGATGACTAAAAGCCTCCCCCAGGAGATATGAAGACTGGTAGCTTTTCAATGGCAAAGACGATTTTGCGCCACTCTTCTTCTGACCTGTACTGGGAGATCATGAAGCATCTGCCTTCCTTCAAATTCAAATGATTCAAATTCGGGTCATTCACCACAAGAGCGAGAACTTTGATCTTTATATAATAGGCCTCAGCAACCTTGGGATGTTATACTGAGAACTAATAAACTCGTGTGCAATAGACACAATGTTTATTTCCCCCCAAATTTTATATGTTGAAACCTAATCCCCAATGTGATGGTATTTGGAGGTGGGGCTTTGGGGAGGTGATTAGGTTTAGATGATGTCATGAGGATGGGGCCCAAATGATGGGATTAGTGCCCTCATGAAAGGTGGCCCCAGAGAACTCCTTCACCCCTCCAACACTTGAGGATGCAGCAAGAAATCAGCCGCCCATGAACCGAGAAGCAGGCCCTCACCAGAACCCAACCATGCTGGCACCCAGATCTCAGACTTCCAGCTTCCAGAACTGGGAGAAATAAATAAATATCTGTTGTTTGTAAGCCACTCAATCTCTGGTATTCTGTTATAGTGACTGAAATGGACCCATGAAGAAGCTAAGAACTGGCCAGAGGGTGTCTGTTGTTAATTTTGGTAAGCTTGTTGGGAAAACTTTGAGTTGACATAACTCAAACCCTGATCTTTATCCTAAGCAGTAGCGACTTGTAGAGGAAGAATTAGTTGCTTTGTACCGTTGTGATGGTCTCTCTGCTCAGCATCATTTTTCCTTCTGAAGTACAGACAGGTTGTTCTCCATCACCCGCTTCCTGAGTCCCTTCCCAGCTACTCTCTATGTTGGCACAGTTCTGGACTCATCATCTCCAGATCTTTGGGTAAACTTACCTGGAGGCCAGTATTCCACGCAGCATGTTGCATTGGATCAACCAAATGGTTAAAAAAACAAACAAAACAAAACAAAACACTGGGACTTAGCCTCTGAAAAACTCCCATCAGTGGCCCTTAGGGTGTATGTGACGTTGCTTTGGTGCCCAGGCTATGACAGGCAGTGTTTTCCAGGATGTGGAATGCAGCACTTTGGTTCAGAGACAATACGAAACAAACAAGTCTTACGCCCCAGTGCGCTAATACAAGATAGCTTGTGTTAGCAGCATTGGATGAGGCTGGGGGCTAAGACTTGGATGAGGGGCTCACACCAACTCTCGAGATATTTTTGAGAATCATTTCTCCATTGTTTCCTATCATATGTTCCTGTTTCTTTCCTCCATTGCTCCCTTCCGTCTTTGCCCTCATAAATAGCTATTGAGTGCTTGCTAAGTGCCAGGTACTGGTGCAGGCACTGTGGCTATGCATTGGATAGGAAACACAGGTTCCCTGCTCTCTTGTGCTTTACATTCTTATGGGTAGAACACACACACACACACAAAAAAAAAAAAACCAGGGAAACAAAACTACCATTGCAGGTAAAGTATCATGAAGGAAATAAACGAGGTCCGTTGACAGAGAGTCACTGGGAGAAGACACTCCAGCGGAGGCAGTGGGGTGTGTTAGGGTTCTCCAGAGAAACAGAACCAACAGCAGACAGACAAAGAGATTTATTGTAAGGAATTGGCTCAGGAGATGATGGAGGCTGAGAAGTCCATGATCTGCAGTTGGTGAGCTGGAGACAGGAGAGCTGATGGTGTAGTCCCAGGCCAAGGGAAGGAGAAGACTCAGCTCAGCAGTCAGGTAGAAAAACAGTGGATTCTTCCTTCCTCCACCTTTTTGTTGTATTCAGGCCCTTATTGGATTAGATGAGATCTGCTTTACTCAGTCCACCTGTTCAAATGTTAATCCCATCCAAAAACACACAGACACACTTGGAAATAGTTTAACCAAATATCTGGGCACCCCATGGCCCAGTCAGGTTGACACAAAATTAACCATCACATCGTAGAAGGCCTATGATTGGGTGGCTTTTGGGCTGAGTCCTGCTTCCCCCTTCTCCCGCCTCCTAACCTCCTCCCTTCTTGCCTACTCTCCCACTCTCTTTCTCCACTCTTCTCCCCTTCGGCCTAGAGGAGACTCTGGGTCACCCCTCTGCTCCCCAGCATTGCAGTCTCCAGTGGAAGAGACCCCTGACTCAGGAGGGCTACCTTCTCACAGAGACCCTGGGCCAGCGGAGAAGTGAATGGCATCTTCCAGAACTCCATGGTAACCTCAGCTCCTGTGAGAGCCCCATCTATGGTCTGTGACCCTCGGTGCACATACTGCTCCCCCTGGGAGTTTTAGATGCAAGACACACAATCTAAAGTCAGCACCTCCCCAGCCTGGCCACAGATTCAGCTGAGATCTACGTGGGGTTGGAATTGCTGCCGTGGCCTGCTCCCTACCCCAGGAGCACCACTACTGAGACTCAAAGGCCTGAACCCAACTGGGTTTTGGCCCCCGCCAAGGTCATAATATGTACCTCCAAGAGTCCTGGGGACGTGGTACCCTAAGCTGGGGAAATAGCACTAGACCCTTGTTCTAGTAGGTTCTAGTGAATGAATTCCCATGTAATGAGTCTGCTTTATTCCTTCTGTCTGCCTCAGGTGATTCATGCTGGTCAGCAGGTTCAGCTGTTTCCTTAGAAGGCACGAACCCTGCATGGCACAGGGGCCAGGGTTCCTTCACAGAATAAACGAGTGAGCAGGGGAGGGGCAGTCATTTCTGCTGGCTGTACCAAAGAATTTTGGAGTGAACGTGATTCTTGGGAAGAAGAGAAGCTTTAAAAGATGTCCAGTTAAAACGGTCGTTTACTGCCTGCATATAACATTTTTATAAAACATTGAGAATACGGGGGACCTGGGAGTGGGGAGGATGTGCAGTCAGGCCCAAGAAAATAAACTGACCAGGAGCCACAGCTCAACTGGAGAAATGCCTTTTGAGACGTGACACTGCACAAACAATAGGCAATGATTTAGAGCTCTCTGACTCACCATTGGGCCTCAAGTTATTGCCGTTATTAACAGCGACAAGGCTACACACCAGTTTAGGGTCTCCCACATCTCCAAAGGTGTCATTTGGGTCTCCGCTCAAACATCACTTCCTCAGTGTCAGCCTTATCACACCACCCTGTATTATTTTCTGCACAGCTCATACCGCGATCTGATCTATGTGTGTGTGCACGTGTTTATTGTTTTCCTTCCTGGACTAGAACTTGAACTCCCCAAGGGCAGACTTGGGCAGCTCATGTGCCCAGCATTTAGAACCATGCCCAGCATGGTCGGGTGTGGTGGCTCACGCCTGTAATCCCAGCACTTCGGGAGGCTGAGGCGGGCGGATCATGAGGTCAGGAGATTGAGACCATCCTGGCCAACATGGTGAAACCCCATCTCTAGTAAAAATACAAAAATTAGCTGGGTGTGGTGGCTCATGCCTGTAATCCCAGCTACTCAGGAGGCTGAGGCAGGAGAATTGCTTGAACCCAGGAGGCGGAGGTTGCAGTGAGCCGAGATCGTGCCACTGCACTCCAGCCTGGGTGACAGAGCGAGACTCTGTCTCAAAAAAAAAAAAAAAAAAAAAAAAAAAAAGAACCATACCCGGCACATAGCAGTGGGACAGCCAGCATAGGTATTGGTTGAAAGAGCAAGCAAATGGTTTGCCACACTAGCTACCCCACAAACCTGAGGTCTATGTACACATCCTTACAACTCCAGGTAAGAACCACTATCATCCCAGTTTTGTAGATAAGGAAACTGAGGCTCAGAGAAAGTAGGTAGATTACAGGAAGCAACTGAGCCCAAAAAGACTTGTGGCTATTGGACTCCAAAGCCTGTGCTCTTGGTTCTGCTCATAGTTCATGTGTATTAGAGGCATTCTCTGTATGAGATGCTGGACCAAGCCTTTATGCGGATTTCCTCCTATAAACCACTCAGATTGTATGAGGCAGGTACCATTACTACCTAGTCTTTACGATTCCATCATTTCCATTTTGCCATTGAGAGAGCTGGTTTGGGTCTGGGAGTAACTTGCCGGGGGGATGCAGTCTGTCACTGACAGAGTGGGATTTGGCCACAGGTGCTCTGACCCCTGCATGCACTGCCTCTCTTAGCCACCTGCATTCCCTTCTTAGGTCAGCAGGTGCAGGCCTGGCAAGAGCAGCGTGGAGGGACATGTTTCTTGAGGCTGCATGCTGAGCTTCTGGAAAAGCAGCCTGCAGTTGCCATATGCACCCAAGATGACTTTATTCCAAGCCTCAAATCCAACATCTCAGATCCCCCCAGTGAAGAGTCAAAACCACCAAAATGTCTTACTGTCTTGCTCTCAAGACCTTATGACTAGAGGATTCCAACATCACAATCAAATTCATCAGTAATGAATGCTATGATGACAGCGGATACCACTAGTACAGCCCTTGGACCTGGGCAAGAGGGGCGCTATCTTGGGTCCAGTGCTTTAGGGGGCCCTGCTCCAGTCCTCCTCCAGGCTTTAGGGGGCCTGGCTCCAGTCCTCCTCCAGGCTTTAGGGGGCCCTGCTCCAGTCCTCCAACTGTGCTCTTCCCTAGGGAGGAAGGAATCCATGGCCACCCACACATGTCCCTTTCTAGAACATTTTCTGGGTACTTGGGGCCCCCGATTTCTGGCAAAAACGATTGCAAGCTTAGATGTGGGCATCTTCCCAGCATCCCTGCTTTAGAGCAGGCTGAGTGGTCACACAAGATGGTGGAGGGGAATGTGAATAGAGGTTGGATGTGAGGGTGGGATGTCCACACAGGTGTGCATAGACCCCTAAGGTGCAGGATGGAGCTGGGGGTGGGAAGAGAAAGGGAGCAGGTTCCAATCAGCTCCGCTGTCCCCACAATGCCGTATTCTGCAGCAGATTTCCAATAATATAATAATTTACCATCTAAACCTAGTCTTCAAAGTCATTAACAAGTTACTTATGTTGGCTGGGCATGATGGCTCATGCCTGTAATCCCAGCACTTTGAGAGGCCGAGGTGGGCGAATCACCTGAGATCAGGAGTTTGAGACCAGCTTGACCAACATGGAGAAACCCCATCTCTACTAAAAATACAAAATTTGCTGGGCGTGGTGGTGCATGCCTATAATCCTACCTACTTGGGAGGCTAAGGCAAGAGAATCACTTGAACCTGGGAGGCAGAGGTTGCTGTGAGCCAAGATCGCACCATTGAACACCAGGCTAGGCAACAAGAGTGAAAAAAAAAAAAAAAAAAAAGGTTCTTTTGTCAAGGTAACTGGATAGAACATTTTTTAAAAATTTATTTTTATTTTTTGAGACAGAGTCTCACTCTGTCACCCAGGCAGGAGTGCAGTGGCTCACTCCTTGGCTCACTGCAAGCTCTGCCTCCCAGGTTCACACCATTCTCCTGCCTCAGCCTTCAGAGTAGCTGGGACTACAGGTGCCCACCACCACGCCCGGCTAATTTTTTTGTATTTTTAGTAGAGACGGGGTTTCACTGTGTTAGCCAGGATGGTCTCGATCTGCTGACCTCGTGATCCGCCCACCTCGGCCTCCCAAAAGTGCTGGGATTACAGGCGTGAGCCACCGCGCCCAGCCAGAACATTTTTTTTGCAGTTTATGTGTATTTGTGACTTGTAAATATGTAGATATCAGCATCTGGAGGGCATTTGCACTCTTGTCCTGGCTTCACAGATGTTCCAGGTGACTCTGGGTACCACAGCAGGGACCAAGGGGGTGGCCACACGCCCTGGCTCTGGCCCCAGGATGCAGTAACACTTCAACCTTGCAATGC